ACTCATTCATTCAGTTATTCATTCACTCAATAATTACTGATCAGGTTGACTATGTGCATAATACAGACACAGAGATCCCAGCTTGTGGATATTTAGATTCCAGAGGAAGAGATAAGATATAAGTTTCAGATGTGCCCTGTTAAACTTTCTGCAAGTTCAAAGGAGAGATGGGAACCATATTTTTCTTGGATTCTCAGTAAAATTTTCCCAGGGAGGGAGGCATAAGGATAGTGGCTGGAAGAATGTGTTTTTTAGGGGCTGGGGATGTGGCTCAAGTGGTAGCGCACTTGCCTAGCATGCATGAGGCACTAGGTTCGATTCTCAGCACCACATAAAAATAAAATAAAGATATTGGAAAAAAAGAATGTGTATTTTAATAGACAGAGATGAAAGGGAGAAAAGATAATTAAACCCATAACACAAAAGAGACAGGAAAGCCAGATTGTGGAGGGTCTTGTTTGTCAATATTGAGAGTTTGGGTTACATTCTGTTTGCAATGAGAGTCATGAAAGGCTCTGGCATGATCAAGGAACCTGTGGAGGTGTGGTAAGAGATGAAAGAAGAGCTTGAATGTAGAGGACACTCTATTCTCTGAAGCAATACTCGAACTCTAGGTGGAAAATAGTAAATGGTGTGGAACTCAGGTAATAGCAATGCATATAGAGGTAAGGGAGGAGCATGAAAGATGCTTAAAAGGGTCCTGGTCATTAATTGGAGAGTTCATTTATTCGCTTGACAGAGAATGTCAGTAAGATATTGCAGCTAGTTGCTGGGGCACAAGAATGGGCAAAACATGCATAATTCCTTCCTCGTGTATGGTATAGTAAATATTTACCTTAAAATGAATGTGAAATAGGATGCAGATTATGAATGAGAGTTACATGTTATAAGAGCTTGTGGTGGGAGATTTGATGAGTCAGGGAGGAAAGGAAGAAATGCTACCTTGACAAGGCGACTTGTGAACTGAAAAGAATATAGGGTGTGAATTAGGTGCAGATTGAAAGGAAGTACACTGTCGGCAGAGGGTACAGCATGATCAATGGCCTGTTGTAAGCAAACAGGCCTCAAATTAGGTCACTGTGAAAGGGACTCGGGTATAAGATGAGGCTGCAGAGATCATACCACATCATGTCTGGAGGATGCTGCACTCTGTCGACTAGTGCTAGTTCAAGCGCCAGTGCCAAATGTGGTAAGGAGCTTGTTCTAGAATGTGTAAGTCAGCACACTGCTTCTTTTATCAAGAAAATCTTGTTCTAAAAAAGCCTGCTGAACTGCCTTAATGCAAAAGTGACTTACACTCTGAAGTGAGCTCCTTATATTGGGAGAACAGTAATAATTCCCAACCAGCAGCCAATGTGTGGCTCCATGCTGGGTGGAGATGGTTGTGAGTTTTGTCTTTATCCTAAAAGCAATAGGAAATCTTAGAAGGATGTGAAGGGGAAGTGGTAGTGGCTACATTACAGAGCACAGTTTGGAAGGTAGCCAGAGTGAGAGGAAAGAAGACAAGGAAGTTTACGTCTTGTTAAAATAGGAGATGTCCTTTTCAGGTGAGAGAGCAGGAATTTAGAATGAAGTCCAGTGGCAATCTGAAAAGAGTGGAGGAGATTTGGGATAAACTTGCGAATATCCCATAAGGAAGGGAGTAGAAAAATGAAAAGTGACCACATGTCAGTTAAAATAAGAGAGCCTATGCTGTCGGCAGGTTGACGTTCTCTGAGACTGGATCCAACAAAACTTGCTTCTCTGGAGCAGGTAAAGAGGGTCAATTTCAAAGATGAGTAGAGGGCACACGCATTGTGGTTCAATGGAAAGAAAAGTAGCTAGGAAGTCAAGTAAAATATTGTCAAGATCAACTCTGAGTAGAGTATGGTGAATAAGAGGTAACACGATGCCTTCAGCTGTATTGTGGTCAACATTCACTCACCAGATCCCTTAGAAGAGGAGAGTATATCTCTCATATTGCCCAGTAGCATATCACTCCCAAGTCATCACCTGCAGGGAGGCCAAAGCATTTTGTCTTGGGCCAGGTTTGAGCCCATCTTCTCAGAGGATCCCAGAGATGCTGTGCACAGGCACCTTTCATTCACAGTGTTCGGGGCAACATGTGGGTGAACAAACTCACCAGACATCCAAAGAAGAAATAAAACCATAATTTAATTGAGGCAGAGAAGAGATTGTTGGGCAAGGCTTGACAGAGATCTTGCCACAGTGAAAATGAGTAAGCTCAGGAAAAATAAATTTTAAATTCAAATGTTAAATGATTAATTAATATGATGGAGGCTTCCCTGAGCTGGATCAATAGGCACCAGCCACAAAATGCTGATGATGACTTGTGATGATAAGGAGATTGTTCCAATAATTAGTCATCATTCAGTACCTCTTCTGTACCAACACTGTGCGAGATTGGCTTAGGGAATACAAGCATGAATGAGACATGTTCCTTGACTATGGAAGGAAAATCATGTAAAAAAGATGCCAGTGTTTTGTACTAAGTGTGTGTTTCAGGAACGTCAGGGAGCAGAGAAGCAGGGCACTAAAGAAATAGGAGAGATGAGTGTTAGGAGAAAAAGGCCTCCCTGGGATGGTGCCCACAAGCCAAGGCTGGGGGAAAAAATTGAAGTTAGACCACTCAGGAGTAGCATGATTAAAGGGCTGGGTAGGAATGACAGTATCAGAAACTTCAAGCAGTTCCATGTGTCTAAAGAAGACACACAGGAAGGAATGTAGTAAGAAATAAATCATTGGAGGTACTCCAGTTACGAAGGTGCCTAAATGCCAAGCTAAGGAATACAGATCTGATTCTGAATGTAGTGAGAAATCCTTGGCATTCCCAAGATTTGATGTGTGGAGAGAGATATCTTTGTCAGAAGCCATTAATATTGAGGGGGAAGTTCAAATTGAGCCAGAGATAAAATCAGCAAAAGAAACTGCAAAATGTCAGAAAAGGTAGAGGCTGAGGATGGAAACCAAAAGAAAACCAACATGTAGAATAAGTAAGCAAGAGAAATGAAAATTGGAAACGATTTAAATTTTTTACTGACAGGAAAACAGACAAGTAAATTATTTATGTTCTTATATGGGAAATCCTCCATAGCAGGGAAAATGAATGAATTCAAGTTCTATGTATGGATATGGAAGAACCTAGCAATGGGAACAATGAAGCAGGCAAAAACATAGTAGAATGTTACATGCTATTTATTTACAAATGTAGCAGAAATGTAAAACTTGCAAGGATGAATAGCAAGTTCACAAAAGAAATTATCTCAGGGTCTGAGGGCACTGCAGTTGTGATCTGGAAGGCAGTTATACAAGGCTCTTCAACTAAAGTGGTAATGTTTTAGTTCAAGCTGGTTGTTGGATATATGAATGTTTATTTTAATTTGAGCATGTTGCATGACAAAGTCATCACTGTGGCCATATCTGAGGAATTTTAGAGGAATGTATGTGCATGCATGCACATATGTGTGTGTGTGTGTGTGTGTGTGTGTGTGTTGGTAGTGGGTTGTAATATTCAGAAAGCAATGGATAGAAGAGGAACGCTATAATGTCTAAGGCTTGACAGGAAGACTATCATTGGTCTAGAGAAGGGATACAAATACAGGTTTTGAAGACAATTCTCAGGGTTCTTGTACTGACTGAGCTGTATACCACTTAACATCTCTGTTCCCCAGTGCCCTCATCTGTAAACTGTATTTACAAATCACAAAGCATATTCCTTGAGGAGATGATAGGAAAAAGAAATAATTTCATACTTATTGCCTAAAAATAATGCCTAGGACAAAGTACTAATTATCAGAGTTAGCCATCATCATCATCATCAATACCAAATGTAGTGATTCAATGTAAATACAATAAAATACTGAGTTTATGTAACAATTTACAATTTGCCAACAATTATGTGGGCCAAATAGAAACTACAGAAATTAAGGGTTATTTGTAGAAATTGATAGAGGCATAAAAGATTTAATGGATGACAATCCACTATTCATATATTCCTTATTGAGTAAGTCTCTGTCCTGACTACTCCAAGCACAGACACTTTCCTCAGGAGTTTAAGTTTTTTGTTTGTTTAAAAAAACTGACAGACTGTATGTTTATTTTCCCAGAGTTCATTTTGTTTCTGTCAAAAGTAATGCATTTTATATACAATTAAATGTTCCAATAAAAAAATAAATGAGCATATGATTCTGAATTTTCCTACTGATAGTGAACGGTTTATTTTCAATAACTATTACACTGAACATAATTGTAACTTTTTAAAAAGGACTATTGAAAATAAATTATCTCCTTTCTGCGACACAGAAGTCACCCACAAGTACACATTTGCATTTTAACATAACTAACATTAAAAACTAATATTAATTGAAAATGATAACTAAGTTAAATACTAGCTTTATCTGCTCCAAAGAGAAGACAGAAAACAAAACTGAAGCCATTTGATTTACATGTGGATTTGAGCAGCTTCTCATCTCATTTTTTTCTACTGACAGAGTATGGTTGACTTCCAGGAATTGAACACTTTTTAATAATTTACTCAAGGACTAGACCCTATTTTTTTTTTGCGGGGGGGGGGCGGAGGAAGAGGGGTTACCGAGGATTGAACTAAGGGGCACTCGACCACTAAGCCACATCCCCAGCCCTATTTTGGATTTTATTTAGAACAGGGTCTCACTTTGTTGCTTAGCACCTCCCTTTTGAGAAGCCGGCTTTGAACTTTCGATCCTCCTGCCTCAGCCTCCAGAGCCGCTGGGATTACAGGCCTGTGTCACTGCGCCCGGCAGGACTAGATCACGTTTTAAAAATGCGTTGCTACATCCATTTCACATATTTATTCAGATCAATAAGGAAACTCTTTGTCGCAAACTCCACATTATACCCATCTACTATTCCTGAGCTTGGCCAGCCTCCCAGGCTTAAGGCCCCGCCCCTTGGGAAGGCGCAGTCTGCGTGTGGACGCAAGCAAGCGCGCTGACGTCTACGCGCACCACCCGCGCCAGAACCCGCCCTCCGGCTTGAACCGCGGTCCCGCGCCGCAGAGGTTGATGAGGCGGACGCCAACGGCTACGGCCGCAGAGCGGGAGGCAGCGCGGGAAGGCAGCGTAGACGAGCTGGCCTAGCCTGGGGCCCTGGCCGTGGTCTTCTGGCTGAGCCGCCGCTCCTGCGCACTGTGCGGGGCCGCAGCCGTTGGGCGGTGGGAGCTGGAGAGGCTGGGCGAGATCCGGGGCCCCTGGTGGGTGCGGGAGTGGTCTCTGTGGCCGGGATAGCCTCTGGCCATGATCGACTCGGTGAAACTGCGCCGGGACAGCGCAGCGGACTTCTTCTCGCACTATGAGTACCTGTGCGCCTTGCAGGACTCGGTACCTTTGCCCGCCGTGCGCACCTGCCTCCGGGAGGGCGTGCTGGACTTCAATGCCGACCGCCTGCGGGTGGTGGACTGGGCACCCCTCCTGAGCACCCTCAAGATTAATAAAGATCTGCCCGTGATCTCCATCAAGAGCTTCTTCCAGCCGTGGCTTGGTGAAACAGGTTTGTGCTCCTCGGTGGGTGCCTCGAAATCGGTTTTTAGATAGGTCCAAGGTGGAGCCTGGGCCTTAGAAGAGGCGCTTTGTGCTGGAGGATGTGTGCAGTACCAGCGAGGCGAACGTGGGCAAGTTATTGAAGGTCTTAAGGTACCGAGTTCTCATCCGTAACCTGGGCTTAATAAGAAGACCGAGGATAAGTGATTTCAAGGATTCCCTGAGTTAATGATGTTTGTAGAATGCTTAGCACAGTTTGGGACCTCATTAAATCTTGGATAGTTGTTTCCTCTTTAATTCAATGCCTTTTTGGTTTTTTTTGCCTAATACAAAAAAAGTAAGCGATTAGGAAATTAATATATTCCAACCCTTTTCTTCATTAAAAAAGTGTGTATGTAAGAATTTTGTAAAGCCCTTTTCAACTATTAGCCGCTTACAGATATAATAGGGTAATTAGAATCTAGACCCTCCGATTATTCAGAAAACAGGTGAATGACTACATGTGACAAAATGATGTTATTCCTTCTAGTACTTTTCACAACATTTTGTACATTATAAGGGCTCAAATCATATTTTCTAAATTGACGTGAACGAGGCTCACATCTTTCCATTAGTAACCATCAAATGAGTATAATAAAAGAGATTTTGTTAAAGATGGATGGGGAAAGTACAGTGTAAATTTATGAATCCAGCCTAATCTGCTTCATGGGATGTTGGTAGCTAGCTGGGATGCCCTTGTAGTTTTGCCCCCTTCAGGCAGTTGGCTGGGAGAGTGGTAAAGTTTTGGAGTGGGGACACTTGAGTGAGAATGACAAACTTGGCTCCCTGCAGGATATATTTAGGATGATCTGTTAGGCAAAGTGATTGCTCTTAATGCTTCTGTTCTTTGTTTCTCTTTATTTTTAATTTTTGCAGATTTTGTATTTGTAAATTCACCATGCTTAATTTAACTCCCCTATCAGTATTTGTGGTGCTTTCATGTTCATTCATGGACATATGCAAAGAAGCAAAAAAAAAAAATTGTCACCCAACATATATATTCCTATCTCACTCTTCATATCTTTTTAATAAAGACAGATGTTGTTAAAAAAATTTTTTTAAAGTAGTATCATATAACAAAAGTGTACAGATATTAGAGGTAGCCTAGGGTTTGAATTCTGGAGTTTACATTCTATGTGATCTGAGGCAAATTACTTTTTGAACTACAATTCTTACAATTATAAAAAAGTATTAAAGTAACTCTTGAGTTTTTAGTATTAAATCAGGTCATGTGTGTAAAGTGTCCTGGTAGCACTACAATGAGCTTAGTGTGCCTCTGCCCCAAAGGTTCTCCCCTTCTGCTGGGGGAGACAGCAAGTAAGCACAAGCTTCTGGGTCAGTGCTGTGGAAGAAGTGATCCCAGGTGCTGCAGAGCACAGAAAATTGAAGAGGGAGGTTCAAGGAAGACTTCTTGGAGGAGGTGCCATTCTTTTGAAGGATGTGTAGAACCCAGCCATATGACAGAAGGAAACAGTTTGTGCAGAGTTGTAAATAAAGAATATGGCAAACTGGGGTACAGAGCTGAAATTTAGAGTTTGAGAAAGATCTGAGAGTTGAGACTGATGAAGGCCAAATAGATCAGATGTTCAGTGTTTATCCTGAAGGTTGTGGGGAACCAACGAAGGATGTTGAAATGGACTTTTGATTTAGGGCCCTACTATGTCCTCCATACGGAAGACAAATTAAAGTTGGGAAAGAATTGTAATCTAACAGCCCAAATTAAGATAGGGAGAAGGGCTGGATTTTGAATGATGAGAATGGATGGGGCCTGGTGACTAGTTAGAATTTAGAGTAGCATCTTTCCCTAAGACACAGGACAACTAGATTAGGTTGGGAAGAGAATCTTAGTTCATCTTTAATGTTTTAAGACAGCTTCCAGATTTGTCTGTTAGGCAGGTCTAAACCCTAGATACAGATTTGGGCCTTGTGGAAAGATAGGCATGTGAAGATAGGAGAGGATCTGAGTTACCCACAAAGAAGATGGAGAAAATATTTGAAAGGCTTGCAACATTTTCTAAATGGATGGACTTGAGTTATGTTTATAAGCTGAGAGAAAGTAACCAGCTGAGAAGGAGGGTATGGAGATCTTGGAGAGGAAGTGATTATGGATTTATTTAAAAACCTGACTATTTGTCATATGCCTAGTCTTTTTCTAAGGTCTGAGGTTAGCACCATCCATGGTCTGCTCTGCAAGGACCATTCATCACACCCCTGACTGAAGAGTTGTCACCTTTTCTCTGTATCTCATTCAGATGTTATTCTGCACCTCTGAAGGGACTTAACCACAGTAATAGCAGAAATCAAAATAAATGAAAAATGAGAGGGATCTTAAGAGTCAAAACTAGTATACTTGATTTTGCCAAATGTTTTATACTCAGTGTAAGAAAAAATGTATTGTGGACCAATTTCTTTTCAGATATCCTTTGCTGAATCTTATTCCTTTCTCAAATCCAGTGGGTCTAGGTTTTAACCTCTTATATGTCACTTACTCAACCTTAATTACATTTTGCCTGTACTATTGCAGAAGCTCCTAGCTAGTTTTGCTGCCCCTGAACTCAGTTTCCCTTAATTCTTCTGCCCACTTCAGTTCAAGTGATCTTTCTAAGATGAAACCATATGCTTAAAAAAAATGCTTAATGTGACTCACAGGACCTCTGCAAATTGGTGGCACAACTTGTATTTTGTCAAAGGTACTGAAATCTGAGCTGTGTTCTGCCAAGCCTCATGGGGCTAGTTATGCCTGAGGAAGGGGTATTTTTTTTTTTTTTTAATTGAAAGCAGGTGCCTTTTTCTAGTCCTTTTCTTTATCTAATTGGTCCTCTCACAGTGAGACACATTATTCTGACATGCCAGGAACTCACCTAGTGTGTGGTAGCCCTAGTTCTCATCACTTGTGAGATAAAAGACAACTTTTTTCCAGGCTTGTTTCTGCCTCTTAAAATTTGCAGCTCTTCTTCTCAACCCCTGCAGAGTGTAGTCATTCCACCTGCAGCATTTACAGTGCTTTGCAGGAGTCAGGCATGGTTGCCTTTGCACATTCCACTTCCTCTTAGAAGAATACATTATCCACTCTAACTTACTTTCATCTTTCTGGGTTCAATATCAGTATTTTCTTGAAGCTATCCCTTAGGTGCAATTTCTTTGCCATCTTAAAAAACTCTATGTATAAGGTTTGTGTTTCTGTACCTCATGTGACTTTGAGTTCTTATGTTTTTCCTTACAAGGATTTTTTAAGGATATGGTTCATGTCTGCGCCTTAATAGTGAACGAATGTTTTTAAATGATGAACTATATCATTGAGATTGCTAATTTTACAATAACTTTGCTTTAGGTTCTGACATAAACAAAGTTTGCAGAAGTCGCGTTCCTGCTATAAGATCCAAAGATGTGACCTTCCAGTTGTGTAAAGCTCTTAAAGGCTGTCTAAGTGTATCAAGTGTGCTAAGGAACCTGGAGTTAAATGGACTAGTTCTGAGAGAGAGGGATTTAATTATTTTAACAAAGGTAAGCCTTCTTCAGTGTGGCCTGCAAACATTTCATAGTCGTTTTGTAGGGGGAAATACTCAATAAATTTTTTTAACTCTTTTCCTCTAATAAAGGGATTGAATAAATCGACTTCTTTGGTGCACCTGTCTCTTGCAAACTGTCCAATTGGAGATGGAGGTTTAGAAAGTGAGTTTAAATCTTGTTTAACTTTTGACCCATCAGACTGGTCTCATGTTTGCCTATATACCATATTAATTCCTGTCTGGTTTTTTATTAATAACCCTTTTCTGGCTGCTGCCTCTGTCTGAGCTACCTCCTGTGCCTCTTTATATCTTGAGCCATTATCACTTCTACCCTTAAAGCTTATCATGTTGATTACTCTCTGAAGTAACTTTACTAAAGGATGTGTTAAGCCACAAACCACACAAACCTCTTCTGTCTGGTATTCTGTTTTTTGTGTTTATTCATCTTTTAGGGTTTTCCTTCTAAGAAATATTTATGGGAATGGCAATAGCAAAATGTGAAGAGGAAAAAAATCATTATTTTTAAATGGCATCTATAATGCAGTCTTAATGCACTGTGTGGTGTGTGCTAAAATAGAAAATATATGCTAAGTGCTATAGGAGCATATAAAAGGTCAGTGAACTCTTTGGCCAGGAGAGGGCTGGTCATGTAGATAATTACAAGAGGTCTTCTGTTGATTGGGGTCCTGAAGAATTGGTGTGTGGAATCATGGTCTGGAGGGGTAAGGAAGCTTGCATTTCAATCTGAACAGAGTTTAAGGTCCTCTATCTTCTGTTGCTCTTGTATCTTATGTGCTTTGGTAGAGCACCTAGTTATATTAATAAGAGCACCTGATGTAGTTCTGGGTTTATAGTTGACATTTAAATTGATGATCAAGATCAAAGTATGTTCTTGGAAATAAAATAGAAAAAAAAATCATGTTTTTTTAGACTTTTCTTTTTCTTTCAGATGACTCAAAAACTCTATAATACTTTACTCTGTGATTGGGAATACAGAGTTTTCAATTTTAGCATCTAATAGGATTATGTTATTGCTGTAAATTAGAATAACACTTTGTCACAAACATGTTGTAGAATGTACCGATCCATTAGTTTTTGGAAAGAGTATAGAGAGTGATTTTTAAGAATACAGCTATAAACTAAAATATACTCAAGAAAGTTGAGGCCAGGTGTGGTGGCACACACCTGTACTCCCAGCAGCTCAGGAGGCTGAGGCAGGAAGATTGCAAGTTGGAGGCCAGTCTCAGCAACTTAGCAAGACCCTGTTTCAAAATAAAAAATGGGGATGTGGTATGTGGCTGGGGATATGGCTCAGTGGGTAAGCGCCCCTGGGTTCCACCCCTGGTACCAAAAAAAGAAAAGGATTGACCAGGTTGATTAGGCTCTTCGGTTTATTGTATGTGTCTTTTTTCCCCCCTTCTTTTTAGTTATTTGTCAAGCTGTGAAGACCTCTATCACTCTTAAGACAGTTAACTTCACTGGGTGTAGTCTGACATGGCAGGGAGCAGATCACATAGCCAAGATCTTAAAGGTGACTTTGTATTCAGAAGTTTGTGAAAATGTGCTATGTGTTTGAAGCACAGTAATACTTTGGTATGAGATGGCAATTATTTTTATCTTTTCATTCATATGGTGATTATAATTATATTTCTGATGAAAGAATGTGACCTGTGTTTAGCTTGGGGTTCTACCATTTAGTAAGATATTGTACTTAATCTTAGGTGAGATTTTAAAGTATAATGCATTATGAATTATATATTTGTGTACCTTTAGTTATTGAAAATATGTTTTGGGCACTGAAAGAAATTTTGTGCATTACAGTCTTCATATTACTTCAGTGACTCAAATATTAACTGCTATAATATATGAACCAATAAAAATCATAGTTTTTAAAAAATGATTTTAAGGGTGCCTTAATAACTTTATAGTGGTTTAACTACTATATTTTGGCATACAATTACTTGATAATTTGATATGAAACCTTTTTTATAGTTTGATGGTACAGATCTGGGATAGGCAAACTTTGTGGATCAAATTTACCACCAGTTTTTTTAAACACAACCATGTTCAGTTGTTTACACAGTAACTGTGACTACTTTCAACCTACACCTGAATTGTTGAGTACTTCTAAAAGGTACTGTCTGACCCACAAAGTTGAAAATGTTTACTTTTGGGCCGCTATAGAGCAAGTCCTCTGATCCTTGCAATAGATAATGGTAAAAAGTGTGAAAATAAAGGAAAATAAAACTCTTGAAATTTAATTGAATTGTCAGTTTACATACTAATCTGCAACAGGTTACCCAGTGGCTAGAGTTGCACAACTAGTTGGTGGCAGACTGGGAGCTGGGTCACTGGACCCCTAAGTCACAATCTACTGTTTAATATACTAAAGATGACCTCCAGCAAATATACTTGGGGTGTGTGTGTGTGTGTGTGTGTGTGTGTAAGGCACTGACATAATCAGCCATACTTAGTTTTCTTTTAGTTTTTCTGTGTCCTTTTTAAGCATTTAATTTCATGCTATTAAATTGTTGAAGTATCAAACCATGAGACGGCATGAAGAAACCTGGGCTGAGAGTCTTCGCTATAGGAGACCAGATCTTGACTGCATGGCTGGCTTAAGGCGAATCACATTGAATTGCAACTCCCTCATTGGTGACCTGGGGGCATGTGCTTTTGCAGACTCTCTTAGTGAGGATTTATGGCTTAGAGGTAAGATAAATGAACTTCTAGAATTGAAAATGGTGAATTTTGAGTATCAAATATGCTTACCTCTTGGAATTGTATTGTTGTCATAATGTATCGGTTTTCTTTTTTGTCTTTTTTGGAACTGGGAATTGAACCCAGGGCTTTGCGAATGTGAGGCAAACACTTTGCCACCAAGGAACATCCCAGCCCAAGATATTTTTAAAATCCTTTTTTTTCCTAATGGCTTTTAAACTTTTATAAAAGTTAAATATATTCTTCATAGGAAATACAGAGAGAGTAAACGATAAAAGATAATATTACCTATAATCAAAACACCCACTGTTCATTTTGGCATACATATTTTAGCTTTTTTTTGGCAGATGTATTTATACATGTAAGAGATTACAAAAATAGAGAACTATAGAGTGCTATTATTTGTTCTTTTTAGTTATATATAACAGTAGAATATATTTTGACAAATCATGCATACACGGAGTATAACTTCCCATTTTTGTGGTTGTACGTGATATGGGGTTACACGTAAGTGCAGGTGGTAAAGATTTTCTTACATTCTATAGATTCTCTGTTCATGTTCTCTTTGTTCATGTATTTATATATGACTATAAAAATATTATGTCTGATTCATTCTACTGAGTTTTCCATTCCCATTCCTTCCTCTGTTTCTCCCACTTCCCCTTGTCCAATCCAGTGAACTTTCACTTCACCCCCTATCTTATCTATTGTGAGTCATCTTGTATCTGTGAACATTCTGCCTTTGGTTTTTTGGGATTGGCTTATTTCACTTAGCATGATCATCTCCAGTTCCATCCATTTATCAGCAAATGCCATAATTTCATTCTTCTTTATGGCAGAGTAATATTTCATTGTGTATATATGCCACATTTTCTTTATCCATTCATCTGTTGAAGGGCATCTAGGTTGGTTCCATAGCTTAGATATTGTGAATGGAGCTGCTATAAACATTGATGTGGCTGCGTCACTTTAGTATGCTGATTTTAAGTCTTTTGGGTATAAGCCGAGGAGTAGGATAACTGGATCAAATGGTAGTTCCATTTCAAGTTTTCTAAGGAGTCTCTATACTGCTTTCCATAGTGGTTGCATCAATTTGCAGCCTCACCAGAAATGTTTGAGTATGCCTTTTCCCCCACATTCTCACCAACACTACTGTCATTTTATTCTTGATAATTGCAATTCTGACTGGAGTGAGATAGAATTCCAGTGTAGTTTTAATTTGCATTTCTCCAATTGTTAGAGGTGTTGAACATTTTTTCATATATGTTGACAATTCATATTTCTTCTGTGAAGTGTCTGTTCAGTTCCTTTGCCCATTTATTGATTGGATTATTTTGGGAGTTTTTTTGGTGTTGAGTTTTTTGCTGTATCTGAGTTGCAGATGGTAAAGATTTTCTTACATTCTGTAGGCTCTCTGTTCATGTTCTTGATTGTTTTCTTTGCTGTGAAGAAGCTTTTTAGTTTCATATCATCCGATTTAATGATGCTTGATTTTACTCTTGTGCTTGGGAGTCTTGTTGAAGAATTTGGTATTTAAGCTGACATGATGTAGATTTGGGCCTACTTTTTCTTCTGTTAGGTGCAGTCTCTGGTCTAATGCCTAGGTCCTTGATCCACTTTGAGTTGAGTTTTGTTCAGGGTGAGAGAGAGAGGTCTAATTTCATTTTGTTACATATGGATTTCCAGTTTTCCCAGCACTATTTGTTGAAGAGGCTGTCTTTTCTTCAATGAATGTTTATGGTGCCTTTATCTAGTATGAGATAACTGTATTTGTACGGTAACCCTACTGTAGTTTGCTTTATAGTGTCTCATGTAGTACTCCCTCATATTGATGCATAATAATTTAATGAATTCCCTGCTATTTGATATTTAGAGAGTTTGTACTTTTCCCCTATTTAAATGTATAGTAAAAGAATGTATGTGTCCATTGGAATTACTTCTTGAAAAGTGGAATGACTTTAACATATTTTCAAAGATAAAGGCACATAATGCCAAATTGTCTTCCAGAAATGCTGTTCCATTTTGTGGTTCACACTAACAGTATATATGTGAGGCCTGCGCACTCATAAACATGCAATTTTGTCAGTTTTAAAACTTTAAACTTTACTAAAATGAGAGCCACCTACCCCTTTTATAACTTTTTTCACTCACTATAGCTTGAGCACCTTTAATTTTTTTTTTAGTGCATTATATTTATACATAAATGTGGGGCTCATTTTGACATATTCATAAATGCATATAACATAATTTACTCCATTTCAATGGAGTACAAATCCATTACCTTTCCTTCTCCCTCCCCCTGATCCTGGATAAAGACAATGTGTTATACATACACAATAGAGTTTCACTTAGCCATAAAGAAGAATAAAATTATATCATTTACTAATAAATGGAGGAAAGTCCTCTATTGCTCTTTCATTCATTTATTTTCTACTTGGTGCATTGTAGTTACACAGAAAAGTGGAATTTATTGTGAGGCTGGGAAGTCTAGGTTGGGCAGATCTTTAGCTTCATTATATTTGACCCTTGGCAGATCCACTGTCTGATGTAGGTGCTCCTCCTGGGTTATAGAAACCTGTCTTCTTGTTTTATCCCAAAATGGGGACTCTATTCCCAAGATTTTATCTAAGTCTATTTTCCCAAGGCCTCATTTCCTAATATCATGTCACTTATTTTTATTGAGGCAGGGTCTTCCTAGGATGCCCAGGCGGCCGTAAACATTTTTTTTTTTTTTTTAGGTACTGGGGACTGAACTCAGGGGCACTCAAACACTGAGCCACATCCCCAGCCCTATTTTGTAATTTGTTTAGAGACAGGGTCTCACTGAGTTGTTTTTATCACCTCGCCTTTGCTGAGGCTGGCTTTGAACTTGAGATCCTCCTGTCTCAGCCTACCCGGCTGCTAGGATTATAGGCGTGCACCACCCTACCTGTCTGGCCTTAAACTTTTGATTGTTCTGCCTCAGCCTCTCAAATAGCTAAGAGCTACGAGTACAGGTGTGTGCCATTGTACCCAAATTCCCCTTCCATTATAGTTTGAGTTCATTTGGAGTTCAAGATCATGATCAAAGGAATAAAGTGCAACCTCAGTATACTACCCAGTATTTGCCTGTGATGTTTACACTGCCACTAGCATCCTTGTTAATTATGAACTGATATTCATTTTGTGACAATTTTTCTCTCTCTCAGATTGTGTAGAGTGCTTTTCAACTCTGCAGTTATAAAATATGTGGGGTGACTCATTAGAACTAAAGTATGGATAATCATAGCATATCCAAGAAGAGGGTTTTGGGGGGAGTTGATGCTCTGTTTTTTTTCCCCCCCAGAGTATGTATTTGCATATGCTTTCTGATTTTATTTTTTTAATACTCAAGATTAAAAACCTTCCATGACTCATCTTGTTCAGGAATCTCCAACATTAATGAGAGTTGTCTGAATGTTAAACATGTAGAGAGTTGGCAAATGACCTATTGTTTTTCATCGAAAGCTCTTGACCTGCAGCAGTGTGGCCTCACCAATGAAGGAGCCAAAGCTTTACTAGAGGCCCTTGAAACCAATAGAACGCTGGTCATTCTGGATATAAGAAAAAATTCACTCATTGGTATGTCACCTCATTTTTAAAAAAACTAATTAACAAATAGCAGAATAAAAAGAATTTGTTCATGTATTGACAATTTTTAAAGCTTAATATGTTTATCTTCCTAATCTTATACTTTTCTAATCTTGTACTTCCTTATGTTTTTAGCAGGTGATTTGCCAATTAAAATGAGTTATACTTGTAAATTGTTCTTGGCTGCTACTCTGAATACAGGTGAACCCAGATAATAAACCTGCTTCTACCAAGAGCATTATTTCTGGTTTTTTTTTTTTTTTTTTTTTTTCTGGAACCTCTGAATTCTTGGGAGAGAGCATTTCATTCATTTGCTAATTTGACTAATAATTTTTGAATACTTCTGTGTGCCAAACACTGGTTTAGGCACTAAACTTACCAGCTAGTTAAAGTCTTACTCTCACTCAGCTTATGTTCTAATGGGGGAAATCAAATACAAATGAGTAAACAGATAAGTAGTATAATTTGAGATAGCAGAAAGTGCAAGAATGCCTTAAAATAAGAAAACAGATGGGGTCTGATGAGACTGTACTAGATAGGTTTGTTAAGGGACAACATCACTGGAAACGTGACATACAGAGAGACCTGAGTGAAGAGAGGAATTAGCAATTCTAGAACAAGGAAGTAATGAGAATAAAAGTACAAGGTGGTAGAGTTGATGGAGTATTTAAGGAAAAGCAAGGAGACCAACATGGTTGGAGCACTTGGCGAGGGAGAATCTGGTATCCTATGAGATCAGACAGCTAGCCAGGGGTTACTTTGAGGTTTTAAAGGCCAAGGTAAGGACCTGGACTATTTAGAGTGAATTAAAACCACAGGAGAGTTTTGAGCTGGAAAAAGGCATGATCCAAGTAGCATTTCATTTGGCAGGAATAAGAAGGAAAACAGACTAGTTCGAAGTGGTCGAAGTGAGAGATGGTTATGGCTTAGCTTAGGGTGGAAGGTTGGAGGTGATAAAACAAAGTATAATTAAGAAGACGACTTGTAGATAGATTAGATGTGAGCTATGAAGGAAATAGTAATTTTTAAAATGTCCCTCAGTGATAATGTGTATGACAGAGTGGTACAGTTACTGAGAAAAGGAGGATGAGAGAGGAGCAGCTTCATGGGTGTATCACAACTTTGGTTTGAATATTTTAATTTTATGGGAAAAGTAATGATTAGTTGACTTTTGTTTTTAAATAGAAATAGCCACTCATTGGAAAAGTTACTACAATTTCAATTTTCATTTTACTTTAGATCATTCTATGATGAAAGCAGTTATCAAAAAAGTTCTTCAGAATGGAAGGAGTGCTAAGTCAGAGGTATAACATGTTTTAGTCCTCTAGAAAGAATTTTTATTCATTTACTTTTCTTTTGTTTTTAGTAAAATAAAATTGCCAGGGCACTTTCTTAAATGAAGTTTTCAGTCAGTTAAGGTGGCTTTTCTGTTTTTAAAAATATTTTGAGACTTAATTTGGAATCCTAAAACTGCAAACCTTTTGTTAACTTAGAATATCCTAATAAATTCGAGTTAAGGTTGAATCCTCATACCAGTACTTAAATTACCTGTATCTCTCTTCTAGTACCAGTGGATAACTTCTCCATCAGTAAGGGAACCATCTAAAACTGCTAAACAGAAAAAGAGAACAATAATTCTGGGAAATAGTCGAAAAGGAAAAGCTACTATTAGAATTGGTAACTCTATATGTCTTGTCTTTTTAATACTTTTAAAATTTATATCTTCCATGTGTTCTAATGTGTTAAAATTACTCTTCTCATTGTCTGTATTGACACATGTATATCTTCTCAGGACTGTAATTGTTCTGAAACAGATAACAAGAATTTGTAGAATGTAGAAATAGTTAAATGAATCATTATAGAAAGAATACTAGTATTTCCATTTTTTAAATTAGCCGTTTTTGTTTTTTGTTTTGCATAAAATGTTCATCATTTTCAGTGTTTCCCAGTTGACGATTACCTTGCATACTTTGCAGTTGAAATTGGGATGCCCTTTGGTGACACTGCTTTTTAGTGTCCTTTGTTGTTTTATGATGCTACAGAGGAATCCAGGGCTTTGAGCTTGTTGTCAAGTGCTCTACCAAAGTCATGCCCCCAACCTGATTTTTTAAATTTTTTTAATTAAAAAAAAAAAGTTTTTAATTTTTTTTTTTCCCTTTAGTACTGGGGATTGAACACAGCAGGTGTGCTTTACCACTAGGCCAGTCCTTTTTATTTTTTATTCTGAGGCTGACCTCAAATTTGTGATCCTCTTGCTTCAGTCTCCTGAGTTGCTGGAATTATAGGTGTGTGTTGCCAAATTTTTTTTTTTTTAAATGGAGTAGTACCCTTTCTTAAAACTATAGGAAACAACATTTTTTCTCCTTGTTCCCCACTTCTCTGAAATTCCCACTTAAAAGGTATTGAAACCTGGCACAGTGGTGCATACCTATAATCCCAGCAGCTAGGGAGACTGAGACAGAAGAATCGGGAGTTTAAAGCCACCTTCAGTAATGGTGAGGCGCTGTGAGGTAACTCAGTGAGACCCTGTCTCTAAATAAAATACAAAGTAGGTCTGGGGATGTGGCTCAATGGTTGAGTGCCCCTGAGTTCAATCCCCGGTACCAAAAAGAAAAAAGGTTATTAAATATTAGATAACACCTTGATTCTTTAAATGATGAAGAAAAAACTTAAAATGTATATAATCTTTATGAAACAATGTTGCAAATAAGTTTATTGACCCTAGATGGAATGTTTTAGAATGAAATGTTTTCTGTATTACTTGTTATAATGTATATTTAATCTTCCAAGTAATACTTAATCTAATAATAGTTAGAAATAAAAATATCCATGATTTTGTGACCAAGTATAATGGGAAAAACCTTTTAAAGAAAACTAACAACCAGTGAAGTAAATTTTAGTTTGTATTAATTTAATTCACTAAAATTTTGTGTTATTTCTAAAGAGTTCTTAAGTTTTATTTTCTATAACAAATTATCTTTAGCACAAACAATTTTTTTCTTTGTGATAAGAAAAAATGACACAGTAGAATAAGTTAATCTAAATCTATTAGAAAACTGGCCTTTTTTTTGTAATAACTTTGAATTTTGAGACAGTAAAACCATAAGAACTAATATAGAAAAAAAAATTATGTTTAGGATCTGCCAACTTTCTACTAGTTAAAGATTTGTGGTAACTTTAGTTATATGCCACATACATCAAGGTCACTGAACAATTAATGGCAGTCTTTTATTTGGATTCAATCTGAAATCTTAACAAATTGTTTGACTTAATTCTATTGAGGCATATACTTAAAAATGGTTAATATGAGGAACTGGGGATGTAGCTCAGTGGCAGAGCGCTTATCTAGTATGAGTGAGACCCTGGGTACAGTCCCCAATACTGCACATACACACAAAAAAGATTAATATGGAAATTTTTGTTAGATATATTTCAACATAATTTTTTTAACGTTGTTTGATGATTTTTGTTTAGCTTTTATTAAGGTGTTGTTTTATAATAGCAATGGAGATAAAAACAGAAAACACCTCCAGTTTCACTATTCTATCAAACAATATTTTCTCCTGTTGACTGTCAGCATAAATATAATTTGGCATTCTTTTTTTCATTTCATAGTAAATTTTTATATGATTAATAGTTACTTTTTTTAATACAGTCACAAGGTTTTATTGAGTTGATGGGTCAATATTTTAAACTGGTAAAAAGCTGGAAAAGATTTAAGTATTTAATAATTTAAAAAATCCTAGTGTAAATATCTGCATACCTATAACTTCTTGTTTTATTAAAAGCTGTATATTTTTATTTACTGTTAACCAACTTATTTGTAGTGAATAGTAGTAAATGTATTAGGTAGTAGTAGATAAAAGTATCTTATCTACCAACTCTCATATCAGAACAGTGATATTTTAGTTGTCAATCAGATAGTATATACAATTGAGACTGGTGACATCACACTAATTAAATATTGCTAAAGGTTTATATCATGTAAGCATTCTTTTAAGTATTTCTGTTGGTGTTTATAAATAAAAATAGAAAATGTATATTACATCTTTATAAAACATGTTCAAAATTCTTTAATTTTAGTAGCTAGTGTTGTGTAATAAAGAAAGTGGGAATGTGGCTGAATTTTACAAACTCACTGAGGTATTTTAAGAGTAATTTTGTTTCTTGGGCCCTTTTTTTTTTGGATTTGCCTCAGTTATTTGGAGACATAGAGGTAAGCCAAATCAGAGTCTTGGCAGTATAGTTAGATTTTAGTGAGAACAGGGGTTGAATATGTGAATTGTATCATATTCATATTGTAATTATATGTGCAGAAAGAAGATAAGTTTTATTATATTTTTAATCTTCTGCCAAAATAGGTTTATTTTGACTTTAATTAAAAAAGTTGTTTGCACTTTTTTAAAAAATTTTTTTTAGTTGTTGATGGACCTTTATTTTATTTATTTTTGTGTGGTGCTGAGGATCGAACCCATTGCCTCACATATGCTAGGCAAGTGCTCTACCACTGAGCCACAACCCCAGCCCTGCATTCTGAAAGTGAAGGAAATGCTATATATGTGAAGGCTATCCACAGGAACATTTTTGTGTGTGTGAAGATAATTAGGTTAAAAAAAAGAAAACTGGAAAAGGAGAATATGAATAGAGCTCCTGTGTATTTGAAGAGGCATGTAAATGTATCCAGAGAAATCCCATAGCACCATGTGTTGATTATCAATAAGTTACAATATATGAAGTGTTTTTCCTATATTACCATAAACATTTTATTTTAGATGCCATCCTAATAATGGCTAAAGTGCCCTTGTTTAGTAAAACAGACTGGAAAGATAAATATAATCATTTTAATAAATGAATAATATTTGTTCTCACTAATATTAGAAACAAATACTTAAATTTGAATTTTTAATATCTGTTTTCTAATAAAGTGTCAATATATAGATATAGCTTTTGAGGCTGGGGTTGTGGCTCAGTGGTAGGGTGTGCTTGCCTAGCATGTGTGAGGCACTGTGTTTGATCCTTGGCACCACATTAAAAAAATAAACAAAGGTATAGATCTAGTTTTTTCTGCCAAGTGTTTTATATAAAGATACTTAACTCTTCATTGTTGAAATGTAGGTTCACTCTTTTATCCAATGTTTTATTGATTTGTTTTGTAGTTTCTAAAAAATCAAATGAGCACTCAAGGTCATTTCTTAGTTACTATGAGGATAACATTTAGTCAGCTACTACCCAGTAACCTTCAGTCTTTTAACTTTGATAATTTTTATGTAGTAAAATTAATCTGCAGGTGAAATTTTGTTTTAATTCAGAAGGTTCTGTTGGGCAGGAGTTATGGGTGTACCTATTTTGATCTGACCTTGAGATTCAGAAATACTCAAGATGTTCTGAGATTCAGTAAATGGAATGTTTTTGCATGATGCACAATTGTTCATTGTTTGGAATATATTAGTATTTACTTTGGCATGTTTTGCATGACCCATATACTTTTAGTCAAAATTATAACCTGTTACCCTGGAGAACTTAAATTTTCAAAACACTGCTGCCCTATTTAATAAGAGTTTTACAAATTGGGTGCTGGGAATATGGCACAGTAGTGTAGTGCTTGCCTGTCACACATGAGACTCTGGTTTTGTTCCCAAGGCAGCTAAAAAACAAAAAACAAATTTACAGACTGATTGTGTTTTATTGGTTTAGTATCATTGTTAATTGCTCATTTGAATCCTTTTAAGAATGTGCACATAATAAATAATTGATGATAGCCTTTTATTGCATCTGGAGTCTTTCTTTTTAACATTGTCCTTAATACAGGATTGGCGACAAAGAAACCTGTAAACAGTGGAAGAAAACACACCCTTTGTAAAGAATGTGCTTCTGAACATCCTCCACCTGGTGTATCTGGTTTCTTGCCATGGCGTACTGCAGAACGTGCAAAAAGGAGCAGGTGGGATTTTTTTTCCCCATCTTTTAGTCATTCACAATTCTTTTGGGGGGGCTTCTATTATATGGAAGCTATCTGGTTGTTTTTATAAGGAGAAGAAGATAACTAACATATGGTTTCTGCTTAATGGATCCTTTAGGGAAGCAAAACAAAAAAATTAATATAACTAGGAATTTCATGTTACATCTTAAGTGTCACAACAGTTTGTAACCCCATGGGAGTTCATAGGAGACTGAAATTATCTTTATTTGTGCAGGTAAGAAAAGGTTTCAGAAAACCCATGTGTAGTGTAGCTGAGTCCTACAGGACAGAAGCAGAAATTTGGATATGTAAGAATAGGGAAAAGGGCATTATAGGCATGGGGAATAGTTTAATGCCAAGTGGATAAGAAGTATGGATTAGACTTACTAAGTCATCTGGCCTAACTCTCATTTTAGTAAATCAAAGAAGATTTAATAAGTTTTAGCTAATTACTTACCCAGGACATAGCTATTTGTAATAATTTTTGTCAAAGAAGTTTTCAAAAATTGTACTATAATTTTAGGCTTGATAAGGGCATTAAACTACTATACATGGCTGGGGTTGTGGCTCAGTGGTAGAGTGCTCACCTAGCATGCATGAGGCACTGGGTTCAATCCTCTGAACCACATAAATGAAAAATAAAGATATTGTAGCTACCTAAAAATAAAAAATGAAATAAAACTACTATATTTTATTTTCTAATTACTGATTTGAATATTTAAGAAATTAAGGATTAATAGTTGCTTAAGACAATAAAGAATTGATTCTAAATAGGTCTAGAAATAGGTACTATGTAAAATATCTGTTCAGTTGCTCACATTTAAATAAATTGATGTATATAATAGGCAACTGACTACTATGTTTATTTATAATTGGTAATGTGAATTATTATTACATAAACTAGTGCTGAAACACCAGATTTTACATCTTAATTTTATAACTTTGTGTTTTCATGTCTTTTTCTTGGGATGCTTAGTAATCTCTAGTCCACTCTGATCAGAAGGAGCTGTAAATCAGAGAGTAATTATTATCAGAGAAGTTAGTCTGAAAATCTCAATCATCCTGAGCATAGAATTGAAATGCATTTCCCAGAGAGTTATCAAAAAATCATTATGCTGCAGTTTGTTCAGTTTTCTCCCTCGTAAAGCTTTCTAGGTGCTTATTTTGAGATTATTTCTATACATAGTTCTATATGAATAATAATACTAGTAAGTGTGAATACTTGGTATTAACTGATGGTGCATTTACATCAAAATATAACAATTGTTGATTTTCTCTTAGGGGTTTTCCATCAATCAAAACCCGTGATATATCTGATCAGCTGCAGGTATGTGCTTATCATATTTGCAATATGTAGGGGTTTGGATTAAGAAAGATGGAGGGTCATTCTCTGCTTTTTAAAAACTTGAGTAGAACCTTATAAGAAATACTTCCCTCCCTGAAGTTAATCCGCTTAAAATTTTTCAGGTTGCTCTCTTGACACCACAGTATGGTTGTATGTATATGGCATACACCATGCACCTTGTGGTTTCATCTGTAGCCAAAGAAGCCATTTTTTCAGTTCATAAACTGCTGTTGAAATGATTTCAACCACCATTACTGACTTGACACATGAAGCTATCATACTCAAAAATGTCCTTCGGTTTTCAAGAAATGTTGTTTTGGGGAGATATATGCATTTCTTCATAAATTTTAGATCCTACACCCAGAACAAAGCAACAAATGCCAGAGCCTCTGATTTCTCATACCATTTCTTTCTCCCTCACCAGGGCCACACATATTCCCTGTCCTATTGCCTCTCAGTCTTGGAGCACACTGATTCTATCAGAGTATTGGGTTCTTCTCCCAGTTGTCCCAAGAGATCATAAGTTTTCTCTGCAACCTGTACACTCAGAAAAATGAGAAATTATACCCTATCCGATTCAAATGTATGATAAGATCATTGTACTGCCATGTGTATCTAATTAAAACAAATAAAAATTAAAATAAAAACAACACTAATGAGATTGAGACAGGAGCACCTGGGGTGTCAGTACTGCCCCCTGCCTACTTAATAGATGGGTGTACATCTCATTCTGCCATTGAGGATTTTCGTATACTGCATGGTTTGCTGCTTATGGTAGAAATTACATCTAGTGACTTGTTTTTCAGATGTATATCAATACTTTTTTTGATCTGTAGACTGTTTTATAGAGTTGGACCAGGTCAGTTTTTAAACGATAGGAAACATATTAAGCAACATTCTAGTGTTAATGAAACTTGACAGGAGTATAGCATTGTTTTAAGGATGCAAAGGTAGTTTGATGGGCCAGTTTTAATTGTATATGTGTGTGTGTGATTTATTAAAAGGTCATTTTAATGTTTGTTAATTACAGTTTAGCTTATTAACTAATCATTCTTATAATTCTTTATCAGTCTCCCTACTTAGGAATTTTCCTCCAAAAAATTGTACTTTATAGACTCTTTGTGTCTGATCGTGCAGAGTAAATTTCTCATCCGCAGTATAAAATTGACCTGAGAAAAAATGTTTGTCCTGGCTTCTCACTTGATTCATGTGCAAGAAATTTACTAAACTAAAATGGGAAATTTCAAATATTAATTATAACCATGTAATACAGTAACAGTGTTTTAATCAAGTTTTTCACTGCTGTGACTAAAGGGACCCAACCAGAACAATTATAGAGGAGGAAAAAATTATTCTCCTCCGAAACTTCTTACATTGTGTTACACGTGAGCTTCTGGGGGACTTAAATATTTCAGAAAGATCACTTTGATTAGATGCCTTTTACATTTGGTATTTGATTGATATTATTGTTTATACAATCTTGTCCTCTTTATTTAAGCAATCAGATTTTCCTGTGACTGTGACAGTAGAGAGTCCTTCATCCTCAGAAATTGAAGAGGTTGATGATTCTTCAGAAAGTGTTCATGAAATGCCTGAGAAAACTTGTTTAAAACAAGAAGCATTACAGGTACAAAACTATTACTTTAAATATATAGGGAAGATTATTTGAAACTGTGTGGTACTTACTTGGCAGAAAGCTTGATTGTGAAACAACCCTGGATACCTTGCGTGGGATCTGTTTACCCCTTTTCTAATTCATATCCCTTGGAAAGGTTTCTTTTTTTAGAGCAAGGGGAGAGAAGGACATGTGACTACTACAAAATAAAAATCAAAACATATCACCAATAATATATTTTTCTTTTTTTATAATCATAGAATATTATATTTAAGGAGATCATAAAATAAACTCAAGGAAACTAAATATTGTATGATGTAGTCACCCAATTCATTGTTCTTATTTTACATACCAAGAAATTGATGGGCTGGGGCGGGGGCTGGGGCTCAGCGATAGTGCACTTGCCTGGCATGTGTGAGGCACTGGGTTTGATTCTCAGCACTGCATATAAATAAAGGTCTCTTAACAACTAAAAAATTAAAGAAAAAAACCTAATTAAAAATTGATGGTTTAGCTGAATTTTCTTGTAAGATAAAATTTTAACTTCGTGCTTAATAAAACTAAAAGGGAAGAAAAGTTTTGGTATTCTCCTTTCATAAATAAATTTTATGTTACTTTATATTGCCTCACATCTAATCTCATTCTATTCTTCTGTTTATGTGACCAGAAAATAAAAATTTATAATATTTTTGTACCTTAAAAAAGATTGTATTTATTTATTTTCAATTTTAAAGTAGAGCTTATAACTTATAGTAAGGGAAACACCATTTGGAGAGTTCCTGTTCTTTGTGTGTGTGTACTACAAAGTTCTTATTTTATTTGTTTGTTTTGTTTATTTATTTTTTTGGTACGGAGGATGGAACCCAGGGTGTTGCACATAACCAGACCACAAAGCTACACACCTAGCCCCCCACATAAAATTATGATTTTATTTTAGAATGAAACTTTAAAATATAGAAAGTTATCCTTTCCTATATTTATCTATTGACTTATAAACAATAGAACTTTAATTTTCACAATTCTGGAGGCTAGAGAATACAGGATCAAGGTGCTGGCAACTTTGGTATCTGGGCGGGGGCCTGCATTTTGGTTCACAGATGGCACCATGTTGCCATGTTCTCCCGTAGTTGAAGGGCAGTTTCCTATTTTTATGTGACTATGGAGATTACTGATCCGTGAAAAAAAAATAGAAAGCCAGTTGAGGCATAGCTCAGTGGTAGAGTACTTTCCTATCATGCATGTGGCTCTGGGTTCAATCCCTATCACTGAAAGAAAAAAAATAAATAAAAAGCACTAGACTTTCATTTTTTTAATTACTAATTTGCCAAGTAGAGACAAAATCTTTGATCATCTAATCCTAATCCATTGTTGTTTTAGATGTGTTACATTTATTCCCTTCACCAGGGCACTACAAGATTACATTTCTAAAAGTGGTTAGAGCCATTGGGAAAGATCAAGGTTCAAAAATGTAGATAGAGAATTTCTAATGTCCTCTAAGCTCTTCTTCATTTTGAGAACCCTCTAAAATGATGGCATCAAAAAATTCTAACTATGTAAACCCATAGCAATCAACAGTCCAGAAGAGATTCTAGGCCAGATGTGGTGGTTCACGCTTATAATCCCAGCAACTCAGGAATCTGAGGCAGGGGTATTGCAAGTTCAAAGCCAGCTTCAGCAATTTATGGAGACCCTGTTTCAAAAAAAAAAAAAAAAGCCATTGTAGAAGAAATTCTAATACAATTTTGAAAAATAGAAGACAAGTGGAAGAAAATCTAACTGAACAGAAGAATAAAAGAAAATCATCACCTGGAATATGCACAGGGGCAGCCTATGCTCAAAGGGAACCTAATCCTCCCTGCAGAAACTGCTCCATGCTCAGCTGTGCCTGCCAGAGGGGGTGGGATTAGAAATGTGACTAAAGTAGGGGTCGCTCCTTACAGTTTATGTATAGAAGAGTTGACTCCCAGCCCTACCTTCACTCTCTTAAAGTGAGGTAATCTGACTTTGGAAAAAAGGTAAATGATTTGAGAAGTAGAGTAACTAGTGTGAATTTCACGCCCTAGAAAAGGACAGTTGGGGATATCGTAATCTAACTGGTGGCCCACTTCTTTAAGCATAAAAGAAGCCAGTCATCAGTTTCCAATGAGCTTCTACTCTTTTATTCTTAAATACAAAATAACTGTGGTTCACCAGCTGATTCAATAAAACTTACATGACAGGGGAAAAATAAGATGAAAAATGCATCCTGGTAGGGCCAGAAATAATTGAGAACAAGAATATTTTAGGAAAAAGGCATCTATAAAATAATAATAGGGTATAGTTTAAAAAGGAACTTTCAGAAAGCAAGAAAGGTCTCTGGAGGTTAAAATATGATTGTTGAGTCATGTGTGGTGGCACATACCTGTAATCCCAATAGCTCAGGAGACTGAAGCAGAAGGATTACAAGTTCAAGGCCAGGCCCCACAACTTAGTGAGACCCTGTCTCAAAATAAAAAGGACTAGAAATATAGCTTAGTGGTAGAGTGCCCCAAATATGTGTACATTTGTTGAAATAAATTCAATAGGAGTTAAGGAAGCTTATTTCTCATTATATGGAAAACAAAGAAATGGAAAATATGACAAATGATATGGTCTTGAGGCTGTGTCTGTGAGGTCTAACATGTTACTACATGTTACCTATACCTTGTCTGAAATGTTTGGGACCAGAAGTGTTTTCAGGTCTCATATTGTTTTGGAATGTTTGCATATATATGCAAATATAATAAAGTGTCTTGGAACTGAGACCTAAGTCTCAAAACACAAAAGTTACTTACATTTTATATTCATCTTATACACAAATCCTGAAGATAAGTTTATACAGTATTTTTGATATGCCTGTGAGTTTTTTTTAAGTTGTCAATGGACTTTTATTTTATTTATTTATATGCAATGCTGAGAATTGAACCCAGTGACTCACACATGCTAGGCAAGTGCTATGCCACCGAGCCACAACCCCAGCCTGTGTTTTGACTGCAATCTCACATGAAGTCAGATGTAGAATTTTCCACTTGTGGCACCATGTTCATGCTTAAAAGCTTTCACACTTTGAAGCATTTCATATTTTAGATTAAGGGCTGAAATCTCTGGTCAGGAGAGAAGGAAATTATCCCTCCAAAAGCAAGAAAATGTCTCTTAACAGTAAATCAAGGTCCCAGGTGTTTTGCAAAGGACTACCCTGTGTTGAACAGGATGAATGAAGATAGACTTATATAATTGGACACTCTTTTTTTTTTTTAAGCTACACATGACAGTACAATGATCTTGACAATTCATACATTTGAATCAAATGGGGTATAATTTCTCATTTTTCTGATTGTACAGGTTGCAGAATCACATTGGTCATACAGTCACCTATATACATACAGCAATAATAACGTATAATTAGACACTCTTCATTGTGAAATTTTAAAACAGTGAGGAAAGACATTTCAAAAAGAAAAAAAAAGTTAAATTTCTAAAAAAGAATAAAAATTAACCTTTTTCATGCTTCTTATCATCTATTATAGATTCCAGAAGGCATTGGAAAGATACTTCAAAGTTTTAAAGGCAAATAATTTTGTACCTAGGGTTTTGTATGTAACCAAGCTGTCAGTCTTAAGTGGTGGCTGAATAGGATATTTTGTACATTAACAAATTTGAAAATTTATCTCCTATGCTACAGCTTTCCTTATTTAAAAATGTATGTAATCCAGCAAAATTGGGGAATAAACCCAAAAGGAAGATGAATTCAGTATGGAACAACCAGTCTAGATTTGTAACTTTCAGTGATTGTGTGATTGAGCGCTTTAAAAAAACTTGAAGCACATTACCATGTATTAAGCACAGTTAGAAGGGAGGAGGGAAGATTGAGAAGGAAGAAGGACATCAAACTCCAGAGGAGGAGAAAGCTCTGTTGACACAAACATAAAGCAGACTATATTGGGGCAGATTTTTAAACTACCATTGGTGTATGACAGGGAAGAAGAATCCACTTGGATTTGATAGTACGAATACAAGTTAGTAGACTATTTTGTTGAGTGATTTTACTTTGTAATTTTTTGTTCCATAGTCCCTATTTTCTTCAAGGAGCATGAATTACTCCTAAAGGAGTGGTTAGGACAAAGGGGTATTACTTTTTCATGAAAATGGGACATTATGTTTTAATACCACTAGAGGGAGAAACCATTTCATGTAATTGTACTTTGGTGTTCTATATAAAACCAGTCAAGAATGGAAAAGTTTAATCTCTTTCCAGTGATGAGAGATTTTTGTTGTTGTTTGTTTGCATCATTGCTTAAATTTCAGTGTCAGTTTTTAGTATTAAAACCATTATATGAATAGTAAGAAGAGGCATTCTGAAATTTCTTTTTCCCTTTTGCCATAAATATTTGGTTGGCTTTAACATTAAAGAATCAGAAGTTACTACTGGGCTCAGTGATACACACCTATAATCCCAGCTACTTGGGAGACTGAGACTGGATAATAGCAAGTTTCAGACAAACCTTAGTAACTTAGCAAGACCCTGTCTCAAAAAATAAAGGGCTGGGGATGTAGTTCAGTGATAGAAAACCCCTGAGTTCAATTCCCAATACCAAAAAAGAAAAGAAACAAACAAACAATTTGAAGTTTTTAGAGCATTTACTTATTTTCAAACATGTTCTGAGTATAAAAGTATATACTTATTAAGGAAAAATTTGAGTATAATGAAAAATTTAAAGGAAAACCATTTATGCATGGTTTTATGAATTTTATTTTATTTTTTTATTTTGGTACTGGGGATTGAATCCAAGGGTGCTTTACCACGGAGCCACATCTCCAAGTCCTTTTTAATTAAAATTTTAAAAAAATATGTTTTTGCAATTGTAGATGGACACAACACCTCCATTTATTTTTACGAGATGCCGAGGATTGAACCCAGCACCTCACACATACTAGGCAGGCACTGTATACCACTGAGCCCTAGCCCCCAATTTTTTAAATTTTGAGACAGGATCATGCTAAATTGTTCTGGCTGGCCTTGAATTTGTAATCTGGGATTACATAACAAAATATTTTTTTAAAAAGAGGGTAGATCATAAAAAATCAAGACATGCACCACTATGCCCAGCACATCTGAATATTTTATAATCTACACTTTTTTTAAAAAAAAAAGGAAGTATCAAAATATTTTGTCATTGAATACTCTTCAGAGAATATGTTTAACCTTATAAACCATCTCTCAAAGAAAAAATGCAGAAAATTTTTAAAGGTACTCCTAAAGCCCATTTAGTAACTCTGATTGAGATCTTTATATCATTGTTTTTTTAGTGGCTTCATAGAATGTTCCTTCATATGGATGTGCTATTTTTGTTTTATTAATTACAGTTTGGAAACTTTTGCTTCTAGGGTTTTGTTTTAGTTCTCTGACATTATGTTGATAGTTCACCTTGCCCACATTTGTGATTATTTCCTGTGGGAAATCAGAGAAAATTGTTGGTATAATCTAGAGATTACTCCAGAAAATGCTAAATCAGTTTCCTCTCCTAATGTCAACTTGTAGTAGAGCATCTCCACTCAACACATAAGCAGGGTTAAACCTAAAGTTGAAACTATGTTTAAGTGAATATTCAAAGCCTTTAAAATAAAAATGTATCCTGTTGTTTTAGTAAACATACATGTTCTGTTCATTTAGTGTTGCACAACCACTCCAAACTAGTGGCTTAAAACAGCAGTAGTCATTTATTTTGTTTATGAACCTGGGGGTTGAGTTGTATATTAATTTTCTATCGCTATAAACTTGGTGGCTTTTAACAGTACTCACTTATTAGCTCACAATTCTATCAGTCAGAAGTCTGGGGTAGGACATGATAAGCATCTCTGCTCAGAGCATAAAGCTGAGGCCCAGGTGTCAGTCAGGCTGTGTTATCATATGAATGCTCTGTAAAGAACCTTCTTCTATTCATGCATACATAATTCACTTGCCTATAGTCTCAGCAACTTGGGACCTTAGCAACTTGGCAAGGCCCTCAGCATCTTAGATCCTGTCTCAGAATAAATAAAAATAGATGGACAGGGCATGTAGCTCAGTGGTAAAGGGCCCCCAGGTTCAATCCCCAGTACCAAAAACAAACAAAAAATCCTGAAGAACAGCGACGAAAAAAAGCAGTTCCCTTCCTGTAGTTAGGACTGAGATCCCATTTCCTTGCCGCCTGTCAGTTTGGGGACTGTCTCAACTGTTAGCCATCCCCTCCTTGCATTCTTTGCTACAACATCATACTTCAAAAGAAGCCAGCAATGGAGAATTTCCTTTGTGTCTAATTCCTTTTTTACTTGATATCTTTTATCAGGAAGAGCTTGGTCCCTTTTAATTGGTTGCTTGATTAGGTCACATCCACCCAGGGTAATCTTCTTATCTTAAGATCAGTTGCTTTGGGGATCTTAATTGCTTCCCTTCAAAGCAACACCTAGATAAGTGTTTGATTAATAGTGGGAGGTGCAAGAGGGTACCCCAGCAAAAGGATTCTTCGGGGGTCATTTTAAGGTTCTGCCTACCATAAGTAGTGACCCCTACTTTCAAGGAGTCTTAGTTCCTGAAAATGATAAAGGAGTTAACCCATTTGCATTTTATTTTTTTGACCTTGATGAAGGAGAAGATTACCATATTTGTGACCAAGACTGGCACCCAACTTCCTTAATTCAAACCTGGCTCTACTACTTAACTAATGACGTGATCTTGAGTGTGTTAAACTACTTTTCCTTTCCTTAGTTTTCTTATGAATAAAATAACACAATAATTGTACTTTACTTGTAAGGTTTTGATAATTCAATTAGATAATACCAAGAAAACTCTTCATGTATCTGGAACAATGCTTGACATATGATAAAGTGCTTTGAAAGTGTTTACTTTTTAAAAATGCATTGTAGTTTGCAATTACAAAGCATGTTAATAGTTTCCTGACAGACTCGGGAGGTTGAGACAAGAGGATCGAGAGTTCAAAGCCACCTTCAGCAATGGTGAGGCGCTTAGTAACTCAGTGAGACCCTGTCTCTAAATAAAATACAAAATAGGGCTGGGGATGTGGCTCAGTGGTCCAGATTTCCCAGTACAAAAAAAAAAAAAAAAAAGTTTCCTATTATGAGGGACTCACAAATAAGAACAGAATTTTCCTTTCATGGCCTTTACTTTTCATTTATGAATCACTAACTAGATCATGTATACACCTTAGGGTGAACTGCCACACATGTCTTGGAAACAGTGGGATTTAAATAAATTGTAGCATGCTAATTTGGTATGTTTTGCTAATTAATTTCATTAGTGTGGTATGATATCACAAGTAGTATTCTGTAATTCCAGCTCTGCCCCTAAATACTTGGTGGAATCTGTAACTGGAAGAGCTTTGGGATAAGGGATCATAGTATGAATGAATTATAATATTTACTCTTTTCATTCTAGGGAAAACTGGAGGAGTGCCTAAAGCAGTTAAAAGAGGAAAGAGTAATAAGGCTTAAAGCTGATAAACGAGTCAGTGAGGTAAATAAGTTTTAAATTCTGAAAGTTTTTTGCTTTTTAGTTTGAGTTTGATTTAATTCTAAGCCATATATACATGCATAACATGTAAACTTTTAAATATAGTTTAAAGTAAGAAAATAATAGTGATTGCAAATTGGTTCCATTATTTTTTTTTATGGATAAGCTTTTTTATTTTGATGTCATACCTGTATTTGTTCTTGACAGTATTTGCTGACATATATGAGTATTTTTTTTATTTGTTGTTTTAAGATATACATGATAGTAGGTATATTTTGACATTACACATACATAGGGTGCAATCCATTACAATTTTGATCCCGTTCTTGTGGTTGTACATAATGTAGAGTTACATTGGTTGTGTATTCATATATGAGCATAGAAAGTTACGTCCAGTTTTCTGCTGTCTTTCCTATACCCATCTCCCCTCCCTTCCCTTCCCTTCATCCCCCTTTGTCTAATTTAATGAACTGCTATACTTTCCCACCTTATGGGATGAGCATCCACATATCAGAGAGAACATTTTTTTCTGGCTTTTGGTTTTTTGGGACTGACTTATTTCACTTAGCATGATATTCTATAGTTCCATCCATTTACCTGCAAATGCCATAATTTCATTCTTTATGGCTAATTAATATTCCATTGTGTATATATACCGCATATTCTTTATCCATTCATCTGTTGAAGGGCACTTAGGTTGGTTCCATAGCATGGCTATTGTGAATTGAACTCTTATAAACATTGATGTGCCTGCATCCCTGTAGTAGGTTGTATTATTTTAATCTTTGTATTTATTTATATTTAGTGTCATGTAATTATATTTAAAGTAAGTTGTAGTCTCTTATTTGTCTCTAGGCCTTTATATGACTGCAGTTTATTTTCTGACACATGAAATGGACTTATTAGGCTTATACTGCATGTGCAGTAGCATAAAATGAGTAATTTAAGTATAAGATAGTGGAAACAGCCACAAATGCAATGACAGATAAAAATCTATACTATATAGAGTACTAAATTAGACTAAGATGCATGAAAGCTAGAACATTTTTTATAAACATATATAATAATATAAATATAATTTGTACAAAGAGTATAGGGAGGAATTTTTGATAGTAATGCATTAGATTGAAGGACACTTAGTCAATTAAGAAATATTGAACACCTCATTGTATGAGGCAAAAATTACATTGCAAAGAAATGGTCTTTCTGAGAAATTAGTGCTGGGTTTGTGTGTGGTTTTAGATAAGTATATGATGAGAGGCAGCAGCATGCAGGGGAGTAAATATTTTCAAGAAGCCAACAAGGAGGTTGCAAGTATTGGTCGTTACCAGTTAACAAGTTAACATGACTTCCAAATCTTAAATTACTCTCAACTTGATTAATCCTTAACATTTAGCAGAATTATAATAGACTTTGCTCAAATCAGTCTCTATATTTTGTTTTCTAATTTACTAATTTTGGTTTTTTTAGTTGTAGATGGACACAGTACCTTCATTTTGTTTGTTTATTTTTATGTGATGCTGGGGATCAAACCCAGTGCCCACACATGCAAGGCAAACTCTCCACCACTGAGCCACAACCCCTCGTTTTCTAATTTAAAAGAAAATCTTAGGCACCTAATTTTCTAGTGTAGAATGATCTGGTATAAAAATGTAACCAGTTAATGATCTTTTGAAATATTATTAATGAAATAATAACTTCCTGTTTTGCAGGAAATTTTGTCAAATGTCTCCAAGTTGTTTTTTTTTGTTTGTTTGTTTGGTTGGTTTTTGTTTTTGTTTTTTGGTACTGGGGATTGAACCTAGGGGTACTTAACCACAGAGCCACATTTCCAGTCCTTTTTTATTTTGAGACAGGGCCTCACTAAGTTGCTGAGGCTGGCTTTGTACTCAGGATCCTCCTGCCTCAGCTTCTCAAGCTGCTGGGATTATAGGTGTGTGCTGCAGTGCCCAGATGTTTCCAAGTTTTGATCTGTTTACTCTTTATTGTCATCACTGTGAAGACTTACATTAATTACAAATTAATTATATTTTTTAAATGTTTTATTTTAGTTTTGTTACTTAAAATTTTTTCTTTAGATTACAAAAAATGTATGAAAATTGTGTCACACACTTTCAACCTTCTTTTGTAGCTGGAACATGAAAATGCCCAGTTAAGAAATATAAATCTCACTTTGTCTGAAGCCCTTCATTCACAGTCCGTGGCAAGCATGATCCTGGATGATGAAGGTGTTTTGGGCAGTATTGAGAATTCTTTTCAGAAATTTCACGCTTTCTTGGATCTCCTTAAAGATGCTGGGTTAGTTTATTTCTGTCTAGGACATTTTTCCTTCCATGATTTTAATCATAGTTTGCTAAGGAACCTGAGTGATTTTCAGAGCTCTGTAAGCTATATTTAGTGTGTAATGATAATATACTTGTTTTTTTACATGAAAAATTAGTTGTTAAAAAAATGCAAAATGGCAATTCTGCCTTGGTAGAGAGCCCATCGTAAAAAAGTAGTGCTGTAGTAATCGGTAGGTATAACTCTTGGCACAGACTAAATTAAAGGCAATTATAATTGAAAATATTCAGGACTGTGTAGAAATTTTCTTGCCTTTTATTCATCTTTCTTGTTGAATTGATATTTTTGTCCTATTGTAATGCTTATTAATCTCCAGGATAGATATAGATACAAATATCGATTGGTGGTTCTAAACCAGGAATAATTTTGCTAAAAGAAAGAGTTGGAGATAGTTGATGAGTGATATTTTGTACGTGAATGGGTTGATAGTGGAAATATTCACATTCTTAGAAATCGTAGGAAAAGTGGTAAAATGTATGGGGATAAGAGGCACAAAGTGCCCCTGGTAAGTTAGAGCTTAAAATGGAGGAGTGATGCTAAGGACATAAAGTCAAAAGATATTAATACAAAGTTGTAGAGAATATGGAGTACAGGAAGGATTGGAGATCCAGTATGTACCCCAAGCATGAATATGGGAAGATCTGAGAAATGTAGAGAGATGGGGGTTATGATCTGGAGTAAGATAATAGCTTCTAAGATCTTAAAAGCTTAGTATTCATTTATACAAATATTTCGTGCTTGTAAGAGTAGGGAAATCCGAGTTATTCTGATGAGATTACAGTAACCCTTACTTCTTTCTCGTTTGTTCCTCTTATGCAGGCTTGGGCAACTTGCCACAATGGCTGGTATAGATCAGTCAGATTTTCATTTACTAGGTCGTCCTCAGATGAATTCTACTATTAGTAGTGCACCTAAAGAAGAAAAGAAGGCACTTGAAGAAGAAAAAACAGATCCAAAGCAAAATGCCCTAGGACAAATGCAGAATATCCAAGTAAGTGGGCAGAACTTAATGATCAAAGAATGATTAGTAAAAAGGGGATTATTCAATTAGAGAGAAAATGAGAACTGTTTCTCAGTTCCCAAGCTGGGGGACCAGAAGCCTCTTTAGGGTCCTTTCCATGTCTGAGATTAGTAAGTTTGGGTCCATTTCATAATATTATATTGTAAATAAGAAACTTATTTTGATAGTTTATGATTTAAAGCAGATTGTCTTCAGTAAAGAAGGAAAGATTAGAGAAAATACTCTAAATTTTAAATTTTGTAAATGTCTATTTTATTCACATTTCATCTAGGTTTCTATTTGTATGCAGTCAGCTTACAATGAAGGAACACTAATGAAGGTACAAATACTGATAGATAATTTTAAAAAATAAGTAGTCCAGATATAACTAAAAAGCAATATATTGTAGGTAGCCACTGGTGATGGGAATGGGAGGGGAAAACCTGTCTGCCACAGGACTCCCCTGCTGCTTTTCCCCTGCCTTACCTGGAGCCCCATCTCTCATCAACCAATCTCAGACTGTTCTCAGGAACTGACAGTTTGAGAACTCAGTTGAGTTACACATTGGATACTACTTACATGCATGTGGTATATAGAAAATAAATTCATTTTCTTAGGAAATAGGTGTTGTTTTGTTGTTATAGGTTTATTTGTTGCTGTTTTTGAAGGAGGGAAAGGGAAATGGACAGTAATTACATTAAACACAAAATCTGAAAACGTTCTAGACCTAACTTTGAATATAGCACATTTTGAGTGTGGAGTCATTTGCCAAGATACAATTAGTGGGGAAAAATGACTCAAATCTTCTGAGCAATCAACTGATGGCTTAACAACAAGATTACAGAATTACACTCAAGTTCTGCACTCTTTAATGTTTAGCTTTGTTTCTGACTGAATTTTGTGTTTTCCTTTCCAGTTTCAGAAAATCACAGGTGATGCTAGAATTCCTTTGCCTCTTGACTCCTACCATGTCCCAGTTTCTACTCAGGAGGCCTCAGGAACTTCCAAAGACAACCTGGGAGACCCAGCTTCTGAGCAGCGGCAGGAATCTTTTGAAGGATTCATGGCGAGAACATGTTCTCCTTTAGCAGATATGATTTCTGGAACTGGAAATCAAAGAGAAGAAGAGGAATTATCTAGAAATAGCAGTTCACCCTCAGAGAAAATGACCCAAGCAGGTGAATGTACCAAAAAACACTTTGCCAAGAAACAGCCTGGGAAGGACCTGCATTCTTATTCTGACTCCTTTATAAACCAGAAAAGCAAAGGAATTGGGGAAAATAGGTCTTTGGTTCATGAGTCAATTAAAAGTGAGTCTTCAAAAAATTACATTTCTGTCAAGAAAGAAAGTAGAATAGTGACTGTTTCATCCAAGACAAATAAAAGTAAATCCAGTCCACTAGAACATTCTGAAAGTGATACTCTTGGATCTGATTTTGAAGTTCAAGAGAGCATCCATTCTCTATCACACTTGACCTAGGTCTAAACCTTCTGAAATTATGTTTTTACCTTCAAATTTTAATAAATTTTCTTATGTTTTTATTATGGCATATGGTGTCTTAAAATATAGGAATGGAAGCCATTAAAGGAATATTTATCTATGCTTTTTATCATAATGAAGATTCTGGCATATTTTCCCTTTTGATACTTTGCACTGTTCATTCAACAAATGTTTACAATACTATTCTGGGTACTGTGGCTTTCAGCAACAAAGAAAGCAAAGCTTTTACCCTTATGGAACTAATACTGTGTGGAGGGAGAAAAAGGACAGCAACAATGCAGGGGAAGGGGACTAGAAAGGGATGAGATTAAGTTGATTAAGTTAAATGTAGAAATGCAGATCACATTGCCAGAGGTCATTTGACTTGTCCTAATTTATAACCAGAGCAACAAACTTGTACTTAGGTACTTAACCAACCATGTTATGGATTACAGCAGCCCTATACAGGAGTAAACTACTGTTACGCGCATTCCGTAGGTGAACTTGAGGAGACTGTGAATTGCCCAAAGTTGTCCAGATATAAACAGTACAGCTGGGTTTGGAACCAGAACCAGTGCTCTTATTCATTTATCCATTTTCCCTGTTAGGAGAGAAACAGCAGAGATGGCGAGAGAAAGGCCAATGAGCACTAGAGGTGCAAAAGAGGGGGGGCTATCAGAAAATATATCTGTCCCTTACCCCAGCCTTTTTCAAAGGCAGAGTATGTAAATATGACCACATATCTAGACTAAATCATCCCTCCTCAGTAAAATATGCACGGATAAATCCTGTAGAACAACCAGGCTGATAAGAGAAAAGCTGAGAGTGTCTGATTTCTCCTAAACAGTCCTTCCTGTATGTTATCAAAGGACTACTACAATACTCTTGAATCCATTAATCTTGGCCCTTTAATAGTATGTGGGGTGGAGAGACTCAAGATGATATTTTAAAACTCTGTGTTCCATTCCATGGTGGGAATACTGAGTGAATTTAATGTGTAGGGAAAAAAGGAAGCTGTGAGAAAGATTATATAATATGAGACTAAGGTCATGTTTTTATCTAAGAAGAGATCATTTGGATACATAAGCTAAGTCTTAAACTAGTTAGAAGCTGGTGAATAGGAGATGAAGAGAACCACAAAAACAGGTAGTTTAGAGTTCCTTGAATGTCATCAGACAATGACATGTGACATTCAAGTAGACACCCAAGAGGATGAGACCTGGTCTTAACAATCCATGTTGCCTGAAACTAGTTCTCTTTCCTCAGGAAATAATGAGCTAATAGAGAACAGAAATGACAGTCCTAGGTTTGCAAATTAGATCACTTAGTATGGAAGATAGACTAAAGAAGCATGGAGATTATTTTTCTTCTTTTCTGAGGAGAATTTTTTAAAATTTTTATTAATTCATTTGTTGGTATTGAGAATTGAACTCAGGGATGCTTTACCACTGAGCTACATTCCCAGCCTTTTTTATTTTTTGAGACAGGTTCTTGCTAAGTTGCCCAGGCTGGCCTTGAACTTATGATCTATTGCCTCAGTCTACTGAATCATTGGAATTATAGGTTTGTATCACTACAAATGGTGGGTTTTTAATTAAAGAACTTAAGCTCCCACTTACTGTCCTACCCCTACTGAAAGTATTTTGTGGAAAAACGTAATGGAGATATAGTGGCTTAAATAAAACTAAGCTGTTTTTTGTTGTTGTGTTGTTTTTTTGCAGTGCACCTCACACATGCCAGGCAAACACTCCACCCTGAGCCATATCCTTATTCCCTTAAGCTGGTTTCTTCACTGTAGGACTTCTCAGCACAACATAGGGCAGTATTCATTCTAAATCTTTAATAAGATAGTCATATTGTAGCTGAGCATGATATTACATGGCTGTGATCCCATTGACTTGGGCAGGAGGACCACAAGTTCAAGGCCAGCCTCAGCAACTTAGTGAGGCCTTAAAAAATATAGTGAAACCTTGTCTTAAAAAGGGCTGGGGAATAACACAGTGGTAAAGTGCCCCAGGGTTCAATCCCCAATTCTTAAAACGTCTCTTTCTTTCTTCCTTCCTTTTTTTTTTTTTTATGTGCAGCCATTCTCAAAAATGTTTGATTATATAGAGTCCTTTTAATATAGGAGTTCCTAGCAACTGGTTATACAATTTGATAACTTCTGAGTTAGCCATAGTAAGAGGAGAAAGATTTGAAATAAAGTATGATGAAGGAAGGAAATAAGCTTGAATCTTAGGAAATAAGACAGCAGTTTGTTACTGCAGTTATCTTACTGGATATCACCCTCAATTTTGAAGTAGGAGCGGTATGTACATCCTTTGTGCAGTATGTACTCCATAAGATTGGGTGGTGGTGTCAAGGTTGAAAATAACCAAACTGCTTTGGTTTCCAGCTGCTTTGGAGAAAAGAGTTTGGTTTCGGACATGGTGAGCTGTAAAGCACCTGTAGAATTCAGGAGAAGGTGACTGGTAGATGTTTTAATGAGTAAATGAAGACTTGAAAAGAAAGAAAAAAGTCAATCAGCACAGTAGCTAATATGAAAGTGGATGAGATTGCCAGGAATTGTGGGGACTGACATTAAATGACAAGCAAAGAAAGGATTCTGAAAGATATAAGTGATTGTGTTTCAAGAAGAAAGAAAAAAATTATACCATGCTATGAAGAAGTGTTCATTGGATTTTGGCAGTTAAATCCTGGTGACCTTAGGGCAATTCAATGAATTGGTTGATGGAAAAATTACAGTAAGTGGATGGGACAGGGCTGTCCTGAGGGGGCAGAGAAGACAAGATAGATTACTCTTTGAAGGAGTTTGGATAAGAAGAGGAAACAGCTAAAGACAAATTCTTTATTTGAATTTGATGGGATGACAGGAAAGAACTAATTGAAAAAGAGGACCATGTATGTAGCAGGATCTCAGATAAGGTGGAGCATAATATATGCTTATAAGACTTCAATAGATCTGAACAGATGAGGATGGAGATTTGGTTTCTGGATTTGAGGTGGCTCATCTGCGTACATCAGGGCAACAAGTTCTTAAGATCTGGGAAATAGAGATTAAAAATCAGATAAGGTCACATCACAAAATACATAAAAAATAATTATGTACTGTTAGAGTTGGAAGATGACTGGTTAGTGTGGACGGAGATAAAGGTGGAAAATGGAAGTTAAAAGAAGTGCCTTCATTTTCTAATCAGTCTAATTTCAAAAGGGTAGTTATAATCTCTAGCCTTAGAGTCTAACACTTGATTTTCACAGAATCAGCAAGATAGGAGATGACTTTTTTTTTTTAAATTTGGTTACATACCACATGCAGGAACTTGTATATAACATGATATATTTATATGACTTAACACATTCTTCTGCTCTTCCAGAATCGTCTTGAAATGACTGGAGAAGTGTTAAAACTTTTTTTAAAATTAATAGCAGAGTTGGAAAATCAGAAAATGAATAATATGGTATTTCTAGAAGACTAAAAGGCAGATTATTGAAGGACCAGTTAGTTAATATGTGGAATAGCTAAGCTATTCCAATTTGGAGCATCTAATTCTGGATTTTGATAACCAGAACTAATTAAGCGCTATTTCAAGTGGAAGTTATGACCTAGGCAACTTTGGGATTGGAGAATAAGGTCATTATCCAAAATGACTACAAAAGTACATACAAGAGGAAGTGAGGGGAAGGGGAAAAATAATATAAGGGGGACAAACGAATGTCAGTAGAGGGGGCAGAGAGAGAAGAGGGGAGGGGAGGGGAGGGGAGGGGAGGGGAGGGGGGATAGTAGAGGATAGGAAAGGCAGCAGAATACAACAGACACTAGTATGGCAATATGTAAATCAATGGATGTGTAACTGATGTGATTCTGCAATCTGTATATGGGGTAAAAATGGGAGCTCATAACCCACTTGAATCAAATTGTGAAATATGATATATCAAGAACTATGTAATGTTTTGAACAGCCAACAATAAAAAATTTAAAAAAATAAATAAATAAATAAATAAAAAATAAATAAATAAAATTTTGCCGGAAGCAAGCAGAAAAAAAAAAAAAGAAGGAACTGAAGTTCCCACCCACACTCTTTTGCTATCTTACCCTACCACTTCCCTTTATAATTGCCAGAGGTCCCTAAAATTAGAGTTTGTATTCATTGAAAATTAACCAGTATCCTCATTTGGCTGAGGAAAAGTACTTCATGGTTTAATCTGTGGCCCTCATCTATAAATAGGAATAGCCAAGAATCATCAAATCTGAAGCAAACTGGTTACAAAAAGGGAGAGAATCCTAGGAGAACAGAATTGACATATATTTGTTGAATTAATGACACAACACAAATATCAAGTTGGTATTAGACTTTACATCATAACTATATAACTAAGCAAACTGAACAATGGATTTTCAATTCAAGGAAACTGATGAACAGAGATAAGAAAAACCCCTTGTCTTGGTGACCTGCTAATCCCCTTTAACAGAAAAAGGTTATAAAAGGTTAAATACTTATGCATATGTGAAAAAGTCTAACTAAAATATAACATGGATGGAGACAGGGCAGGATATAGGAAGTGAAAACGTGCAGGAGGTTGTAATATTCAAGGGCAGGATAGAGATAAGGTTTTATTCTTGGTGTTGATAGAAAAATAAAGTTAAGGGTATACTAGCAAAGTTAGGTGATGCTTCAGTAACAACCTCCAAATCTTCATTTCCAGCATAGTTTTATTTGTGTTTATGCTACTTGACAAATTGTCTAGCGTTCCTACTGGATATCACCCTCAATTTTGAGAGCCAGCCTGGTAGAACATTATGTGGAACATTCCTTGTTGTGCCCAAGGAAAGAGTATGGATGTAACATACAATGTGACTTCAAAGCTTCTACCTAGATGTAGTGAATGTCATCACTACTCACATTTCACTGGCCAAAGAAAGTCACATAGCCATGCCTGAGTTAATAGAATAATGAAGTTCAGACTTGCCACATGGCAAGAGAAGGAGAGAGAGAACCAAATACATGTCGACAACTTTAATAGCTACTAAACGACTAGGAAATGGAATTGAATTTTAAAATCT